TATGGCCTGCCTTTATTGCGGCCCCTGGCAAAAGCCAGGGTGGGGCTTCAAATAACAAAAAATTTCGTCCTAAAAAGGAAGGAACACTTATTGCTAGATGCATCACGTTACTGCTTTTGCTTATCTACTAACGTGAAAATAAAAAGAATACACCATAGCTTGAAATAATAAATTAAAAATCGACCTATAAGTAGTACAAAACAGCAAGGTTTGTGAAGAAACGTGTTCGGCAATGCCAATTTGCAAGTGTATCGAAAAACAAGAAGTGCTTATTTATTTATAGGGTGCTAAGTATTCTACTTGTATTTCAGTAGACTGCGAAACAAAAGCAGGCGGCAGTTGCGTGCGCGCCGGAAATCGATAGTCTCCCCTTATTGACAAATGAATGCCTTTAAATGTTGGTGTGTCAGTTAAGCAGCTGAAGACGGTGAATAGTTTTGGAAACACGTTAGATGGGGATCATAACAAGACCGCGTACAGAGCGTGTTGCGATGGCGCAACCTTCGATTGGTTGTGTAACCGAACACCACAAATATCTGAGGCTTTCATGTTAGTCCATTCTGTGGAATGTCCATGTTTTCTTCACTAGGATCGCCGGCTTTGTTGTTTTCTTTTAGCAGTTCTGTGTAAATTTTGGTTCTGTGTCGTTTGCTGGTCTACAATTTTAACTCAGACGCGATGAAGAAAGTAATGTATAATGTTAAAGCCCGGGATCTTCTGTTATGTTATACACGTGAATGAGAACGCTATCGCTTGTGCAGAGTACTGATCGTTCAATAAAAGCGTCAATCTCAAGACTTGTAACGTGGTATTGAACTACCAACGCGGTGTTGGTTGACGTTATCATTATTTCTCGTTTGCTTAGCGAGCACATTTCGATTCTTGGCCTGAAAATGTCTCGTTTTATCTCCATCTTCATCGTGTGCTATGGTCCAGAAATATTTAAAATATGTTAATAGTCTTCACACACCATCACCCCTCTTGAATTCCGTCTGTGTTTTTATCTCAGTGATGTCACCTGGCCAAGCCTGACAAGTAGTTGTTATGTTGCCCTCCCTTTCCCCCTTTCTCATGAAATTTTCTAGTCGTCACGAAGTTTTCAAAGTTTTTAACGAGCAAATCTGCCAAACCCTCGTATTTTGTACGTATCCTTTAGTTTCGTCCATACCCTAACAATACAGTATTATTCACTTATAGATGTGTATTTGTCTTCAACTGCGCATTTTCGTCTCTGTCACCGTGTTGCTTACAATGAGAGGATTTTAAGATTTTTTCTCGATGTCTATCTGATCCGGTATCTGTATCTTTCCTGGCGAACAAATTATTCACTGTTATACTACTTGAGTCCTTTTTCCCTACAGATTCACTAGTTAGTGATTGTTTCTAGGTTCATTAGTAATTGTTTCAATGGTTCTGTGTGTCCTGATAGCTTGGCAGACATAGATGTCAGAAGTGCTGTTGCTTGTCCTAATACTGATTTTCCTTTGCACATATTGTGTTGAGTTTTGTATCCAAGTTTTTTTTTTTTTTTTTTAAATCTGGAAGGGTATATCGTATATTTAAAGTATCTAGCCTATTATATTTTATTGTATTGACTTTTAAAAATGTTTTCTGGTCCTCTGTTTTTTTTAAAGTGGTGTCTCATCTGCGTCTTTTCAATTCTAGTTAGACTCTTTTTTGTCGTTATTTTTAGTATTATAATTATGTCAATGTTCGCCTGGTATTTGTGTGGAAATTATGCAGCTCTTTAAAAAAGTGATTTATTTTTATAAGATTATCCTGGGGCCTAGATTCAGTTGTTCTTTCGTAATGTTTTGTTGTTTCTTTTGGATAATATTCTTCTGTATAATTCAGCGAAATGGCTAAGACAGGAGGATCAGCAAGGGGAACCTTGTATAGTTTAAACATTTAGAACAGGACCCTTGAATGTGTTGTTCATTCCACACAATGTGGCGCATTACACGATACAGTATAATTTATTCCAGAACCCTGAGATAAACGAAACAGTATCAATAGTTTACAGCAGAAAGGGTTACCTCTTAACGTTTTCTCGATGGCTGTGTTATTAGTTCCAAGTTATCTCCAATTACCAAAGGTAGCCATCGCGCGTACGATAACCTATCCCTGTCTTTGATCTCGTTAATTTATGCATATTCGACTTTTGGCCTCAAACTACGGGACTGTTAACTCACATTCAGTGGACAGAGCCATACATGCTCGGGGTGTTGCTTAAACAGGGTTCTCATAGCGTCTTTGTTGTGTCAGTTGACAGAACAATGTCGATAGGTTGATAAAACATTATGTAAGTGATCATGCTCTGTGATTTTCGAGAAAAGGCATATGATTGTAGGTCATTCGGACACCATGCATTATGTGAATCCGGTAACCCCCAAATGGGGCGTAGGATTGTGGCCCAGGTGATTCAGTATGTTACGACCTTCTCTTACCTGATAATTATGTGCACGTGCTGGCGACATCTGGTTTGCTCGTGCCTGGTCCCAGATGATTCCAGAACACCCGTCTCTCCAGTAAGTGCCGCCTCATGTTGCCCTGGTAACGACAAAGCGTCGCCTGTACAAACTCTTTCTGACTGCAGTTTTTGTTGTTTCATTAAAACAAATGTTACTGCCTTATGTCGCCTTGTCCTGCTGAATTGATTATGAAAATGTTTACACCCAGCCAATTATTGTTATCAATCGTTTGCAAGGGAAATAACACACACTGAATAATATTTACGATGCACACACTTTATTGTTTTGAATCCTTTTGGTTCGTCTTCTCTATCAATGCTGTTGTTTGTCTTCTGTCTCATTCTTGTTTGTCTTTTGTTCATTCTTGTTCATCTTCATTATCATTTGTATCTGCCTTCTTCCCATTTTTAACGTTTGCTGTCGTTCTCAATTGGCGCTTGTTTTGTTTTTCAATCATTTGTTTTTCTTTCTTTCACGTTCGTATTCGTCTTATTTCTCATTGGTATTCCACTTCTTTCTCATTCATGTTTGTCTTATTTCTCACCCATGTTCGTCTTCTTTTTCCTTCATGTGTATCTTCTTTCTGATTCATGTTCCTCTTCGCTCTGATTCATGTTCTTTTTCTCATTCATGTTCGTCAATTCAAGTTCATCTTTTTTCTGATTCATGTTCCTCTTCGCTCTGATTCATGTTCTACTTTTTCTAATTCATGTTCATCTTTTTTTCTGATTCATGTTCCTCTTCGCTCTGATCCATGTTTTACTTTTTCTCATTCATGTTCGTCAGTTCATGTTCATCTTTTTTTCTGATTCATGTTCCTCTTCGCTCTGATTCATGTTCTACTTTTTCTCATTAATGTTCGTCAATTCATGTTCATCTTTTTTTCTGATTCATGTTCCTCTTCGCTCTGATTCATGTTCTACTTTTTTTCAATTAATGTTCGTCAATTCATGTTCATCTTTTTCTGATTATGTTCCTCTTCGGTCTGATTAATGTTCTACTTCTTCTAATTCATGTTCGTGAATTCATGTTCATCTTTTTTTTCTGATCCATGTTCCTCTTCGTTCTGATCCATGTTTTACTTTCTCTCATTCATGTTCGTCAGTTCATGTTCATCTTTTTTTCTGATTCATGTTCTTTCTTCGCTCTGAGTCATGTTGCCTTTTTCCATATTCGCTAATGTTGAATTCCTCATGTTCTGCTTTTTTCTTCCATATCTTATTTGCTCTATTCATGTTCTACTTTTTGTAATTCATCTTCGTGAATTCATGTTCATCTTTTTTTTGTTGTTCCTCTTCGCTCTGATTCATGTTCTACTTTTTCTCATTAATGTTCGTCAATTCATGTTCATCTTTTTTCTGATTCATGTTCCTCTTCGCTCTGATTCATGTTCTACTTTTTCTCATTAATGTTCGAGAATATGTTGTCTTTTTTTCGATTGATGTGATTGATCCATGTTCTACTTTTTCTCATTAATGTTCGTGAATTCATGTTCATCTTTTTTTTTTGTAATTCATGTTCCTCTTCGCTCTGATTCATGTTCTACTTTTTCTCATTAATGTTCGTCAATTCATGTCCATCTTCTTTCACATTCGTGTTGGTTTCTTTCCCATTCATGTTCATCTTCTTTCACATTCGTGTTTTATCTTCTCTCTCATTCATGTTTGTTTTCTTCTTATTCTTGTTTATCTTCTTTCACATTCATGTTCCTGTTATTCTACTGTTTTTTTCCTCTTTCTCACAATTCTTGTTTACTATCTTTTGCATTCGTGTTTGCCTTTTTCCATATTTGCGTTCGTTGAATTCCTCATGGCTGCTTTTTCTTCCTTATCTTCCTTCCTTATTTTGTTTCTTTATTCTTGTAAATAATCCTAATAAATAGTGTTCATTTATCATTGTTGTTCGTCGCTGTATTATCTACCTGAATCTTTCTCTCTGCCAGTCTACATGTCTCTCTGCCCATCTGCCTGTATGTATGAGTACAAGTTTATACATATTTGTTTCAATGACTGAGTGATTGAATTGGCTAACGTAAAGTGAACACATGAGAACGACCGGTTTGAAGTGACAACAATAGACTGGACTGATCTCACACAGCTAAGACAGGATGCTAAGTTTACAAAACTACATCCGGCCTGATCGATAAGTTGCATTCTTGGTACAGGGCTGATGAACTAATTATCGCCGTATTGAGTCAACAGTCGGTGAGACATGGACTTGAGGAATAGGCGAGTCTGCATAGCTGTTTCCTCTGGGCCGGGGGAATAGATCACAGTAATAAGCATGTCGTACATGGCGACAAATTACAGATGTGTCCTTTGAAGTTGGAGTGAATCTAATTGAATGGCGAGGAATCAACAGTCTGCAGACATGAATGCCGAGGAATCAACAGTCTGCAGACATGAATGCCGAGGAATCAACAGTCTGCAGACATGAATGCCGAGGAATCAACAGTCTGCAGACATGAATGCCGAGGAATCAACAGTCTGCAGACATGAATGCCCAGGAATCAACAGTCTGCAGACATGAATGCCAAGGAATCAACAGTCTGTAGACATGAATGCCGAGGAATCAACAGTCTGTAGACATGAATGCCGAAGAATCAACAGTCTGCAGACATGAATGCCCAGGAATCAACAGTTTGCAGACATGAATGCCCAGGAATCAACAGTCTGCAGACATGAATGCCGAGGAATCAACAGTCTGCAGACATGAATGCCAAGGAATCAACAGTCTGCAGACATGAATGGCGAGGAAACAACAGTCTGCAGACATGAATGCCAAGGAATCAACAGTCTGCAGACATGAATGCCAAGGAATCAACAGTCTGCAGACATGAATGCCAAGGAATCAACAGTCTGCAGACATGAATGCCGAGGAATCAACAGTCAGGTTATGGAACAACACAAAGGTCCAGTTTTTTATGAACAACCAGAAATTTCTGCCGGAGTTTACAACCGGTGAACGCTAAGACAAGGAGGAGAAGGAGGAGACGAAGAAAGAGAAGAAGAAGAAGAAAAAAAAGAAGAAAAAGAAGAAGAGAAAGGGAAGGAATGAGAAGAAGAAGAAGAGGAGGAAGAAGAAGAACAAATGTTATCAGGGAGTTCATGAACTCGTTATCCTGTGACTGTTACAGTGAGTTCAGGAAACTGTTATTTGTGAGTTTAATTAACCTGTTGTCTGCGACTGTATGAATCTGTTATCTGCCACTGTATGAATCTGTTATCTGCCAACTGCCTTCAGTTGCTGTCTGCATTTACTACGGGGGGGGGGGGGGGGGGGGGTATTTTGGCATGAGGATTTACAACTCACGGCTAATACAGTGGTCACGGACTATGCATGTGTGGATTTTATCCTAGGTAATAAAAAAGGTAAAGTATCATTTCCCACGCCTTTAGGCGTATAGAGCTTGACCTATATTTTATAGACCAATCGGAACAAGATGGGTGATGTGGTCAGTACCACACCGGCCGCCTTTACTTCCCGGGACTGCACCCAGTACCCACCCAACGCTTGGTCGACCTGGGAGCCAAGGTCATTTTGAAAAAAAAATTATACGGCTCCGTCAGGGAGCTAACCGACGACCTTCCTAACCGCAGGCGAGAATCTAGCTGCTCCGCCATGGCAACTTCCTGATTTTATCTTCACCCATGAAAAAATAATAAAAATCACCATAATCTTACTCAGGGGGTTCTGGGTCTCCTGTACGAGATCCCAGCGTTCTTAGCCGTTCTGTTAGGAGTTAATCTGTGTGCTGTCAGTTAGTTTGTGAACTTTAGATCATTGACTTAATGATGTTCTTCTTGTGTTGCAGGACCTGAGTGCTTTTGCCATGCCGTTGATTGACTCTGATGCAGAGGACACCATGACAGACTCTAATGAATATGGACGACCTCGATCCTCTTCGGGTGCATCTGCTCTCAAAACCCTCCTCGGCAGTAAATCCAAAAGCAGGAACAAGTCTGCAGAGCGAGAGGAGAAGAAGGACAAAGAAAAGGACAAAGACAAGAAAAAAGGATTCTTTGAGCAGTTCCGACCTCGTTCTAAATCTGACGTGTCGGGTTTGAAGAGGCCACTGAAGAAGCCATCAATCCCAACTGACCACTCGCTGGACGAATCAGTCCTGACAGCGCAAACAAACCACAAGTCACTGATCAGCTCACAGGAGGCTGTCACTCCCATGAGCCAGATCTTAGAGGGGCAAATGCTCTTTGTGTCTGATGATGCCCGGGGTAGACACAAGTCTGGCCCGTCCACAAACAAGGATAGTTTCATGAGCAAGTTTAGAGCTCGCTCCAATTCAGACTCCAAGCCAAAGTCGCCCAGAAGACCTCTGCACACACAGGTGAGTGCAGTAAGTGTCTGTATTGTAGAATTTTACTGGTCCATTTCTCTGCAGTGTCTTGAGTACATCCCTTATCTCTCAGTGTAAAAATATATATTGTGTTATCTGTCTGTGTATTACTTTATACCCTTGTTTTCGTTTCTTCCTCTTCTTCTTCTTCTTCTTCTTCTTCTTCTTCTTCTTCTTCTTCTTCTTCTTCTTCTTCTTCTTCTTCTTCTTCTTCTTCTTCTTTCTTCTTCTTCTTCTTCTTCTTCTTCTTCTTCTTCTTCTTCTTCTTCTTCTTCTTCTTCTTCTTCTTCTTCTTCTTCTTCTTCTTCTTTTTCTGCTGCTGCTGCTGTTGCTGCCCTACTGCTTATGCTGTAAAGCTAGACAGAGGGGGTCAGATTCAGTTTCCATTTTTTAAAATTGTGTAGCTTGTTTAGTATAGAAAAATTCTTAGAATGGATCAGGAAGAGGAAAAACATCGACATTCTGACAAGTTAAACATCAAGGACAAGTTGAACATCAAGGAGAACTGGCTCATACCCAACATCCTGTCCCGAAAGTTGATTTGTATTTTGGCCACAGCAAGCGTCATGGTGGCTTGGAAAAGACAGTGATGGAAGGTGCAGTTTGTGGAAGGCGAGGCAGGGGTCGATTACCACGAAGATGGATACAACAGTGTATAGATATTCTTAAGTGTTTGTTATTACGTTTAATATTGCAAATGTATTATTATATTTATTTGCTATTCAATAAATAAAATCGGTTCTCTGTTCTGTCGACAAATAAAGAAATTGACACACGTTACATCATCTTTCACCCACAACTTTCCTCAAACACGGCGAACACAGACCACCAATGTTACATTGCGGGGATCACCGACCTCACAGCCATCAAGATCAACATAGTCCGATTGGCGGTGGTGAAATCTATAACTGGCCGACAGAAATCGTTAGCCACTAATGCAGCTGAGCATAAAATAGCCGTGCACTCTTCAGTCCTTTAATTTACACACCGTTTTCGATTTTGTATGGGCACAATCTGGCTACATTTATTACGTCTTCTATTCATATCATAGATTCATTGCTAAAATTAGGGATTACTGAATCTAGACCGTATGTGTGAATGCAGAAGAATGCTGAGAGTTGGCTGTAACAGATACGGGTCCAGTGTTCCCACTGCCTGAATAGATTTATGTTGCTGGTTGTATTTGTAGTGTTATTTATTTCCTCTTGTCTTAAATCAGAAACTGTTGGTCGTATTGTTGTTCAGCCATGTGACATTTCGATTATAACAATGAGGTGCATGCTTGGGCTGAAGTCCATACTGACACAGGTTGAGCCAAGGTCTACATGCTAGTTACTAATGATGAAGGGCAGCCACTGTATTGCAATCTGTTTTTCGAAGGAAAGGGTTTAATAAAAGGAATGTCATGGATGGCACCACTTGAAGTTACAGGTCATTCATTGTCACATTAGACAGGGAATGTAGAGAGTGCTGTAATGGTATAGCAGAATTGGTGGTATAACTGATAAAAGAACATGTCGGCATGGGTGACGTAACAGTAAAAACTTAGATGGCTTGGTTAACTCTTTTGAGTCCCAAGGAACGCATCATACGTTTATAGGTTTGTACCTAGAAGCCCAATGAACGCATGATGCGCCGATTTTATGACTCTCTTTACTTCCCCCTGGGCCTGTGATGCTAAACCTCCTAGGACTCAAAGAGTTAATTAGGATGAAAATTGTTATTGGGATTTGTCAGCAGATTTGAGGCAAAGGTTGTGGCAGAGGACTTGTTTTGATTCCCAGTCTGTGTTGATGAAGTTTTAAAAGGCGCTTATGTGACAAGAGTGGATAGAGAGCATTAGCACTACACCATAACAGCGGTTGACTGGGATATACCGCAGCCATGTTAGCGGTGGATATACTGCCTAGGACACGCCAGAAATTGAGGATCGAGTGTTTCTTGACTTCAGATCAAAAATACGGGGTTTCAGTGACCTCTCTACTGGTGATCCTCATCCGAATGGTGGCACTTTGTATCACCGGCTGTTTATCGCTCAGTGTGATGTCCTGGTGGGGTCAAAAGTCAGTCAATTAGGAAGTAAAGGCTCAGTTTCCAACTCTTTTAGGCATGTCTATCACGCTGTGCTAGTCTCAGATTCTTGTAGATGCTGTTGTTATATCACAGACGCCTGACTTCCAGGAATATTTCTTAGTGCCTATTTTAGGCTAAGTGGACCTAAGACCAGATACGTTAAAAAAAATTCTGCCTTCACGGTAGTTGGAACCTAGGATAGCTTAGGCTCAAGGTAAGCGAACCTAGGATAGCTTAGGCCCAAGGTAAGCGAACCTAGGATAGCTTAGGCCCAAGGTAAGCGAACCTAGGATAGCTTAGGCCCAAGGTAAGCGAACCTAGGATAGCTTAGGCCCAAGGTAAGCGAACCTAGGATAGCTTAGGCCCAATGTATGCGAACCTAGGATAGCTTAGGCCCAAGGTATGCGAACCTAGGATAGCTTAGGCCCAAGGTAAGCGAACCTAGGATAGCTTAGGCCCAAGGTATGCGAACCTAGGATAGCTTAGGCCCAAGGTAAGCGAACCTAGGATAGCTTAGGCCCAAGATAAGCGTACGAAACATGCCTGGCCATGGGAGCCTTAGATACTTAGCCACATCGCTCATAGGTACTGAAGCAAAAACCATAGAATAGCGGTTCCGAGAGGGAAGACTCATAGGTACTGAAGCAAAAACCATAGAATAGCGGTTCCGAGAGGGAAGACTCATAGGTACTGAAGCAAAAACCATAGAATAGCGGTTCCGAGAGGGAAGACTCATAGGTACTGAAGCAAAAACCATAGAATAGCGGTTTCGAGAGGGAAGACTCATAGGCACTGAAGCAAAAACCATAGAATAGCGGTTCCGAGAGGGAAGACATAGGTACTGAAGCACTAAACCATAGAATAGCGGTTCAGAGAGGGAAGACTCATAGATACTGAAGCCAAAACCATACAATAGCGGTTCTGAGAGGGAAGACATAGGTACTGAAGCACTAAACCATAGAATAGCGGTTCAGAGAGGGAAGACTCATAGATACTGAAGCCAAAACCATACAATAGCGGTTCTGAGAGGGAAGACTCATAGGTACTGAAGCAAAAACCATAGAATAGCGGTTCCGAGAGGGAAGACTCATAGATACTGAAGCAAAAACCATAGAATAGCGGTTGCGAGAGGGAAGACTCATAGGTACTGAAGCAAAAACCATAGAATAGCGGTTCCGAGAGGGAAGACTCATAGGTACTGAAGCAAAAACCATAGAATAGCGGTTCCGAGAGGGAAGACTCATAGGTACTGAAGCAAAAACCATAGAATAGCGGTTCTGAGAGGGAAGAAGGTGTGGGAGTTCCATTGCAGCTAGCCTTCATTGTGTAGATAGATATACATATAAAAAAAACTGATGATAATACATTAATCGACACTCGTAGAAATAAATGAAAAGATAGAACACACTATACAACATACAAATCGAAAGCTTTAGATACTGCGCTGGGGACTTGTAGAAAGAATATTTCTACGACCTTAAGGGATTATTTATATGAGCTGTGTAGATAGCGCCTGACTGATTGAATGGGAACGATATTTTAGTCACAATGACTGAATGTGCAGTCCCGTAGCACTGACTCCTAAAAAGATCTAATTTTGGTAAAAATTCCGATTCTGATTCCTTTAAAAAAAAAAAAAAAGGTCGACCACTTTCAGACTGCTGTTAGCTAGCCGAGGCTGCTAACAGTCTCCGCCTATATTTGTGGTCTGGGTTATTTGCGTCACTTTCGTGACTAAATTCTAGTATTTGTGCCGTTTCTGGGCTTGATGCTTCCTTCCGATTCAGACCCCTCGTCCTCCACCCTGTTGTTAGCTGTGCATGTCTTTGCTCTTCTTACTTGTGTTTCCTCTTGGTTTTGTCTCCCTCTGATTTGGCCAGGTGTATCTCGTAGGAGAGCAAGCTTTTTCTACACAACGTCCTTTGGACCACCATTTACAGTTTCAAAATTTTGAGTATTTTTTTTTTCCAAAATGGTAAAACTTACGTTGGTCTCCCAATTCTACACATCGGTACACACTAGCTCACATCTCATTGGTCGGCCTTAACACACTCGACCTTCACACAAGGTGACGGGGGTGTTTCCCCAATGCCGCTGATGGTATCGCGTGTTCTATATTTCATCTCGCCAGCGCTTCTAACACTACAAAAACCATTAAGAAACTGGATCTAACACACAACTCCCTTAGAGAGTGCTGCAACCTATGTCACAGGCAGTCTTTTTCTTGGAATAAAAAGGTAAATGCAAGACAACAACAGAGCGCCACATCAATATCAGTCTAGTCCAACAAATGTATCAATGGAATGTGACCTACTTCCCGTGGGGGAGACTAATGTTTGTTTAAATCTAATTGTGTGTGTGCTGTGTGTGTGTGTGTTTACTTCTGATTATTTAGTTACAACACACTATGTTAATGTTACAAGTGGTTGAGGTACTTTCAACCCAGGAGTAACAGGTGTCCTTATTTGTTTCAGCTGAGCGTCAGTCCGCCCATCAGTCCACGCGCAGATCGTACTTTGTGTAAGTATTGATGATTTCGATGTTTCGAATAACATTTTATGCTCCTTGTGTTGACCTGTTGTGCTCCTTGGCGTGACGTCTTGTGCTCCTTGTGTGGACCTGTTGTGCTCCTTGGCGTGACGTCTTGTGCTCCTTGTGTTGACCTGTTGTGCTCCTTGTGTTGACCTCCTTGTGTGTGAGCTCCTTGTGTTGACGTCCTGTGTGTTGTGTGACCTGTTTGTGTTGACCTCTCCTTGTGTTGACCTGTTGTGCTCCTTGTGTTGACCTGTTGTGTTCCTTGTATTGACCTGTTGTGCTCCTTGTATTGACCTGTTGTGCTCCTTGTGTTGACCTGTTGTGCTCCTTGGCTTGACGTCTTGTGCTCCTTGTGTTGACCTGTTGTGCTCCTTGGCGTGACG